AGGCAAGGACCTGGCCCTGAATAGAAAGGGAGGAAGTCTCGAGCAGGGGTGCTGTTGTTGCTGGGAGCGGCGACAACGCAGAAAAGAGTACGGCGCTAGTCCAGCGTGAAACAACACGAAGCCTCGAGCGGGAGCGCTGGTTCTGTTGGGACGGCGGCTGCCGGCGGCGAGGAGGAACACCGCCTTGAGTAAGAAGGGAAGAAGTCTCGAGCGGGAGCCGCGGTTTTGTCGGGACGGGGGCTGTCGGCGGCGAGGAAACAGCACCGTCTTCAAGAAAAAGGGAAGAAACCTCGAGCGTGAGCGTTGTTCTTGCTTGGGGCGGCGCCAATTCAAAAGGGAGTTGGGCGTCAGTCCAGCGCAAAACCAGAGGAAGTCTCGGGCGGAAGCGCTGGTTTTGTTGGGGCGGCGGTTTTCAGGCGCGCAGAAGCACCGGCTCTGAGCAAAACAAGAGGAAGTCGCGAGCGGGAACGGGGCGGCGCCGATGAGAAAGACTAGCGCGACAGTCCAGGGTAAAACAGGAAGAAGTCTCGAGCGGGAGCGTTGGTTTTGTTGGGGCAGCAGTTTTCGGCGGCGAGCAAGAGCATTGGCCCTGGGCAAAAAAGAAGGAAGTCTCGCGCGCGAGCGTTGTTGTTGCTGTTGGGGGGCCGTTTTTGCCCCCCCCCAAACGTCCCGAGCGTGAGCTTCATTTTCAACGAGAATGTAGCCGGCACCGAGGCGAGAGCGCCATGAGCGCCTGGGGGGGTCCAACAATTATAAATGTTTAGTGGTCATGTTCTTACTGGGGGCGGCGCCAAATCAAAAGAGAGTTGGACGCCAGTCCAGCGCGAAGCCGGAGGAACTCTCGGGCGGGAGCGCTGGTTTTGTTGGGGCGGCGGTTTTCGGCGGCGAGCAAAAGCACCGGCCGGCTCTGACTAAAAAAGGAGGTCGAGCGGGAGCGTTGTTCTTGCCAGGGGCGGCGCCTATGAGAGAAAGTGAAGCGCGGCAGTCCAAGGTAAAACAGGAAGACGTCTCGCGCGTGAGCGTTGCTGTTGTTGGGGGGCCGGTTTTGGCGCCCACCAAACCGCTCGAGCGTGAGCCTCATTTTCAATGAAAATGTAGCTGGCGCCGAGGCGAGAGCGCCAGGGCGGCTGGGGGGCTCAACAGAAATAATTGTTTAGCAATTGGCATTCAACAAGAGCAACAACAACAGCAACCACAACCACAACCACAACCACAACCACAACAGCAACCAACAGCAACAGCGACAGCAACAGCAATAACAACAATAACACCACCAACAACAACATCAACAACATCAGCTGAAGACGATTCGCTTTTATCCGCTCGCGTGCCACTCAACACGTATACCCCCAAGCCCTCGATACCCGCCCTCTTCATCTTTGATCGTACCCCCAATGGGGGCAGATAGTCGTCTTCCTGCAGCGCTCGCGCAGCCCCCTGAGGCAGCGGAAAAGAGGACGGATGGAAGGAAGGGGCAAGGAGGAGGGAGAAAGAAGGAGCACGAGAGAGCAGCAGGGGGGGGGCTAGGAGCAGAAAGCACGTGGCGGAACCAGACGGGAGGATCGGGCTGATAGACCCGAACGGGCGGGTCAGCAAGGTCCTGCATGAATTGCGAGGAAGTCTCGAGCGACAGCGCGATTCCCAAGTACACCGTGAGGAAATCCTTAGCGAGAGCGTGTTTCCTGAGTGTCGAGGGCGCGGCGTCTGAATACATGTTGAGGAAGTCCCACAAGGGAGCGCGATTTTTGCACACATTGTGAGGAAGTCCCGCGCGAGAGCGCGATTTGGGAATACATTGTGAGGACGTACCTAGCGGGAGCCGTTGTTGTTCTAGTTCGGGGGCCAAGGGCGCAGTTTGGTGACACTTCAAGTTCCCTTGTAAGAAACAGGGCGCGAACCCCGGGAGAAGCATTTAAATTGGAAACTCCGAATGGTTACCAGGGAGGAAGGATCAACAAGTATTATGCTAGACGCTTCGCGTAACCCCACCAGCCCATCCAGAAACGATGCCCAGGCACGTCGCCTTGATCAGGGATGTGGATGAGCATGCAATGGAATGCTCGGCCCTCTTGGGGGTCTCGTGGGAGCATTGTGGGTGCCTCTTTGGGGCCTCCTGGGCGCCTCTTGGGGTCTTGCTGAGGCCTTCTTGGGAGCCTTACGGGCGCTCTTAGGGCCACATTGGAGGAATTGATCAAAAAAGGGACGAGCTTCAATTACGGCCCCCCGTCGGGAGCGCCTAAGATCGCCTCTTGGACTGGTTTTGGGTCGCTCTCGGAGCGCCCTGGGGCGCTCTTGGGGCCGTCTTGGGGCTCGCTCGGGGCCCTCTTGGGGCCCTCTTGGAGCCATCGTGAGGCCTCGGAAGGCCATCGAAAGCAACATGCGAGATGGCAACATGCATGAGTTTTCCTTCGGTTGTTGAAGGATTGTGGCCTCATGGCGGCCTCCTGGGGAGGTTCCGTGGCCATTTGGAGCCGTCTCGAACCGGTCTTCGGGCCTCTTGGAGCATCTTGGATACTATTTTGATCCATCTTGGGCCATCTTGAGCCATCTTGGAGGTCATCTTGGGCTTTCTGAGGCCCTCTTGGAGCCATCTTGGGCCATCTTGGACGCTCCAACCCCTCGCGAAACGCACCTTCCAGGTCCAGGGGAGGGGTCAGGGGGAGTGTACACCCCGTACACCCCTGCCCGAAGGGGAAGGGGGAGGGGTGGAAGAAGAAAAGCTCTAAATAACCTACTCCCAGAGGGCTGGTGGGATTCTTTAGAAATTAGAAATCTTCAACCACAATGACAACGACAACAATGACAACCACAAGAACCACAACAATCACAACAACCACAACAACCACAGCAACAACAGCAACAACCATAACAATAGCAGCAACAACAAGCACAATCAGTTCAAGCCTGTTCGCTCTTATCCGCTCGCGTGCCACTCGACACGTATATTTCAAATGTTTGATACCGGCCTTCTTCGTCTTCGATCGTACCCCCTTGGGGGTATATCCTTCCTACCTGCAACGTGTTCTTCGTGCAGCTCCTCAGGCAGGGGACGAGAGGATGGAAGGAAGGGAGGGACAAGGGGGAGGGAGGAAGAAAGAGCACGAGAGAGAGTAGCAGGATGGGGGGGACTAGGAGCAGAACGCACGTGGCAGAACCAGACGGGCGGATCGGGCTGGTAGACCCGACCGGGCGGGTCGGGAAAGCGGGCCCAGGCGGCCAGGTCGAGCAGGCGGGTTGCTGAAGCGTACGTCCTGCATGAATCGCAAGGAAGTCTCGAGCGCTAGTGCGATCCCCAACTAAATCATTAAGAAATCGTGATTCCTGAGTGTCGATGGCGCGGCGTCTGAATAAATTGCGAGTAAGTCCCACGGAAGAGCGCGAGTCCTGCATAAGTTGTGAGGAAGTCCCGCGCGAGAGCGCGATTTGGGAATACATTGTGAGGAAGTATCAGGCGGGAGCCTTTGTTGTTGTAATTCGGGGGCCAGGTGCGCAGTTTGGTGGCACCCCGCTTTCCTTTGTAAAAAACAAAGCGCGAGCCCCGGGAGAAGCATTTCAATTGAAACACTGCAATGTGCCCCGGAGGGGGGGGAACAATCATTATTCTTTAGACATGAGAATTCAACGACAACAACCACAACCACTACCACCACCACAACCACAACCACAACCACAACCGCAACAACAACCACAACCACAACAACAATTGCAGCAGCAACAGCAGCGGCAGCATCATCACCATCATCGCCATCGTCTCACCACCATCATCATTTTCCCAGCACCCTCGACACTGGAAGGGGGAGTGGAGGAAAAGCAGCAGTAGCATTGGCGCTACAGCTCGGAGTCCATTGCCCGAGCAACGCGGAAGAGGGAGCAGCAGCAGCAGCAGCAGCAGCAGCAGGGGAAGAGGGAGGTAGGGGAGGTCTGAGAAGGAGGAGGAGGAGGAGGAGGAGGAGGAGGACGAGGAGGAGGAGGAGGAGGCTCTACCTTGCCTTCTGGGACCTCCTAGCCCCGCCGCCGCGCATCCCCGTGAGGCCACGAAGCTCTCTGGGCACAAGGACCAGATGGTGCGCGCCACGGTGCGCACCATCACGCTGCAGGCCCCGGGCGCCTCCTGGCCGCAGCCCCCGTCGAGTCGGGACTACGCTACGGGGAGGAGGAGGAGGAGGAGGAGGAGGAGGAGGAGGAGGAGGAGGAGGACGACGAGGAGGAGGAGGAGAGGAGGAGGAGGAGGAGGGAGGAGGAGGAGGAGGAGGAGGAGGAGGAGAGGAGAGGAGGAGGAGGAGGGGGGAGGGGGAGTGGGCTCAGGGGCGATGCATCGACCACGAATCGCCCATTGATCACCGATAGGGGCCCCGTACCAAAAGGGGCCCCGTAGCCGGTAGCCCCACCCGCCCAGGCCCGTGCGGATCTGCTATCGGTGGCTCATCGCGCATCGCCGATCCATCGGCGACGCATCGCCGGTTCCAGGTCCATGCTTCCCCCCGAAGCCGGTGCGTCCCGATGGCGCCTGGCCTTCGCCAGGGTGTCCAAGAGCAAGCGAGCAGAGGCAACAGACACAAGGGAGTTCAGAAGAGCACGACGCGGCGGGCGACTTCTTCTCTGCTCTGGCGTTCGGGAGGGAAGGGGAGGACTCCTCCAGGGGCCACGAGGCCCTCGTGCCCCCCAGGCCTCCCAAGAGAGCGTCGTCGAGTTTTGTTGGCTCACGGCCCTCTCGACCTCACGCCTCAGGGTCGGCGTCTCGCCTTGAGCTGCAATCCGCCCGCCCCGGCGCCCGGGAAGAGCCCCGGGAGGAGGAGGAGGAGGAGGAGGAGGAGGAGGAGGAGGAGGCGGAGGAGGAGGAGGAGGAGGAGGCGGAGGAGGAGGAGGAGGAGGAGGAGGAGGGAGGAGGAGGAGGAGGAGGAGGAGGAGGAGGAGGAGGAGGAGGAGGAGGAGGAGGAGGAGGAGCAGGAGGAGGGGGACGGGGACGTGGAAGGGGTGGAGCTCTGCCCCGCCGCGGGGGGTGCGTCTCCGATCGGTCGGCGGTCGCCCCCCGACGGCGAGAGCGCACGCGGTCCTGTGGGCGCGGCGGGGGCCCGAGGCCGCGGCCGGCGAGGACGGGGCGATCGGGGCGGCCTTCTGCTCCTCGCCAGAGGCGTGCATCACTCCTCCTCCTCCTCCTCCTCCTCCTCCTCCTCCTCCTCCTCCTCCTAGTCCTCGTCCTCCCCCTCCTCCTCCCCCTCCCGGTTGGGGTCCCAGCAGCGGGCCTGGACCTTGACCTTGCCGCGCAGCGCACCGTGCCCCCCCCCTCCAGGCTTATGTTGTCGTTGTCGTTCTTGAACCAAGCCCGACGCCACAGATCAGCGTTTGGCCGTACAGAGCGCGTGCACCACGGCGGGCCCTCCGGGATGCCGTCGAGGTAATTTGGCAGTCCACCTGGACGTGTACCGACGGCAGCGCGTGTTCCAGCGCGACGGCCGCGGCGTGGAGAGGATGAGGCGGTGGGTGGTGGTGGTGGAGGAGGAGGAGGAGGAGGAGGAGGAGGAGGAGGGGCCAGGAAGGAGACAGAGGAGGATCAGGAGGTGGAGGGACCAGGGTGGCAGCGGCGGCGGTCTGGCCGTCGGGCCAAGACTCTGCCAGGGCGCCGGGCGGCAGGGTTGCATGGCCACGGCGGCCTCAGAGCAGGCTGACAGCGTACGCCCTGGCCAAAGGGCCTGGGAGCATGCGGCAAGGCCACAGGACGCCTACCGTATGTTCGTACTCTACGGTGGAGGGACCATTGCGCGCAAAGCTAAAATCGCAGCGGTGCCCGATGGAGGAACATGGGGGGCGACCGACGGATTTGCAGACTGGTGCTTCTCCTCCCCCCCCCCTCTCCGATCATTCTTCCTCCTTGCCCCCCCCGTCCCTCAGCCCGAGCCCGTTGCGCCACCAGGTCTACCCGATCAAGTACGAGCCGATGCGGAGATTCGTGCTGCGCCACGCTTCCGAGTCGTACTTCGAGGGTCTGGCATCCACCCCAGACCCTGCGCGCGTGCTCGCGAGAATGTCGCCGCGGGCGGCGCCCGGCGATGCCGCTCGAAGCTCAGGAGGGGCCCCAGCTTGGATAGGGATCGCTGCTGAACACCATTGAAGGGTTCTCTGGCATGCTTGCTTTCTGGTTGAAGCTGTCGGTCCCATGCCCTTGTCTCCCCTTCCTCCAGCACTGCCCCTCTTCTTCCTTTATATTCCTGCCCTCTTACACAGGACATCGTTGTTTTCCAAATGAGCGACCAGCGTAGATGATCTCTCATTCTTCCCTACCCACAATAGAACTGTCACAATCCCAGTCTTCGCTTACGTACGGCACCACGATGTTGAATCGATGATTGAGCTTGATGGGTGTTCCAGTACGCTCATCTGGTCACCCACACAACACCACATGGGTAGACACATGCATTGATAATGTATGCGTATGTGTGTGAATGTTTGTGGATGCGCGCATGTGTGTATGTGCGTGTGTTCGAATGTTGGCGTGCTTGTCTGTCGGGTGGCATGCCTGTACGCGTGCATGGCGTGTGGATGTATGAGTGTGTATGTGTGAAGGTGTGTGTGTGTGTGCATCCGCCACCGTGCCTTGAGGCACGAGTCGAAGTGTCCTCGGGTCCCTTGGAGCCCCCCGTCCGCAGTCCGGAGTGAATGAGTATTGAGGGGCCCAGACCCCACATTGACAGATCTCCTGGAGCTTCCCGCGTGCCTTCGGCGGCGTGGTGCACGCTCTCTTCTCGCGTGTTGTTTTTCGGAGGCCATGGGGGCCCCAAGACGGGCCATGACTCCCCCGAGAGGTTTCCCAAATGGTCCAGGAGGCTTCCGACACGGCGCACGGCACGAACGCTCCAAGCCGCCCAGGATGGCTTCAAGGCGGCGCCGGAAGAGAGCCCCGATAGCTCCTCCCAAGAGGCCCTCTGCCGCGGAGGGCGAGAGGGAGAGAGCGCTCATGCTGCGACCAGCTCAGCTTGTCTGCCTTGGCAGAGTACGTCCAGCACTCAGTGACGCGCTCCACGTGCGAGCCGGTGTTTCAGCCTTGCCGTATACGAGTTGTTTCACTTCACGCATGCGTGACAAAAAAAAGGCCCTCTGCCGCGGGCGGAGGCCGATCCCCCGCCGAGCTCCTCAGCACAGCGCCTGCGCGGCTGCGAGGCCCTCGGGGCGGCCAGGCACCTCGCGTGGACCTTCGAGCGCACCCAGGAGGTTCGGCAGGCCGATCTGGCGTCTTCAGACATGTCCGCAGCGCCGCCGCGCGCCATGCCCTTCGCACAGCTGACCACCGCGGGGACTGTGGACGACGGGCGGCGCTGCTCGTGGTCGCGGGGGCTCCTGCCATAGGAGCGCAGGCGGTTCCGCCTCGCGGCGTCCGGGGCGGCGCTGGTCTTCCCTGGCGAGCACGGCGGCGTGCTCACCGGGGGGGGGCGCGGGGGTCAACCCGCGGCCCGAGGCGCAATCCCGGCCTGACGACCGTGGCGAGGGCCAGCTTGGCGGCAGGTCGCGCTCGGCCCCGGCTCCAGCAGGGCCGGCGGCGTGTTGGGGCGGGGGCCCTGGCCGCTGACCCAAGACTCGTCCAACGCAGGGATGGTGCGCTGCCGGTCCGCGGCGGGGGGCGCTGGCGCCCGACGCTGCGAGCGAGCGGGGCCGCTCCACGAGAGCTGGCACGAGGTCTTGCGCCTGGCCGAGCAGTGAGGGGACGACACCATCAGGCTGCGAAGGCCAAGCACAGGACGCGCGACGGAGCGCGACACCAGGAGCGGGGTCATCGAGCGGGTATGTGCGAGGAGCGGGGTCATCGAGCGGTGGGAGAAGAAGGGGGGCGAGCACGTTGACGACCGCCGCGCTCGGCAAGGCGTAGAGCCGCACCCTCGCCACGACGAGCACCTCGAGGCCAGCACCAAGCAGGTCTGGATGGCCCAGGAGGGCTGCTCTGGCTTAGCACGGCGGTGCAGGAGGGCAAGGAGGCTTGGGCGGCCGAGGGCGGCGCGAACGTGCCAGCCCTCGTCGACGCGCTGCGCTGCGAGGTCTTGGGCTGTCGTAGACGGGCTGGCGCGCGATGCAGCTTCGGCGGGGGCGCGGGCGTCGGCTTGGCGTGCGACGGGCGCCTAGCCGCGGCGAGCTCCCACCCCGATCCGCAGGGCTCGCGGGCGTGCCTTTTGGCGGTGCAGGGCGAAGCGCCAGACGGACCTTGCGGAGTGGCGCGGCGTTTGATGGGCGCGCAGCCGCATGCTGGCAAGCGCCGCGCATGCGGCAGCAGGCGACCTCGGCCTCCGGGGCGGCGGCGGTGGTCTCCAGGAGGCCCGCCGGGAAGCGCCGGGGCCGCTGCCGCCAGCGGCGCCCGCGCCCGCAGGAGGCTTGGACGCGGGGGCAGTTCCACAGGAAGCGGTGGGTGGGCCCATACCGCTTTTGCGTGGAGCGCGGCGCCGTCACGAAGAGCTCGAGGCCGATGATGCTGAATGTCGAGTGCCCGGGCGAGCCTGCCAACAGCAGGATGAAGGTGGCGCTCGACATGCTGAAGCGCGGACTGGCGCCGTCGGGGAGCGGCTCCTACGGGCATCCCACCCCCTTGCGCAGGGAAATGGGCGTTCAGGAGCCGCTTGCCTCGTGGACGCCAAGTCGTGCGAGGGCCCTTGTCCGCCGCCGGGGGGGGGGCGCGAGCCTCTTGCTCAGCGTGGCCTCTCCGTGCAGCCAGCAGCTCGCAGCTCAGACCCCTGCCGTCGCACCCCGTGGGATGCCTCTCCGCTGCAGGCGTGGCGCAGCGCGGGCCGCCCAGCGGAGCTGGGCGGCTAATGCGCGCGCGCTCGCGCAGGGTGCCACAAGGGGGCCCCGTGGGAGCCAGAGGAGGAGGAGGCGGAGGAGGAGGAAGACGAGGACGAGGAGGAGGAGGACGAGGAGGAAGAGGAGGAGGAGGAGGAGGAGGAGGAGGAGGACAAGGAGGAAGAGGAGGAGGACGACGAGGACGAGGACGAGGACGAGGACGAGGACGAGGACGAGGACGAGGACGAGGACGAGGACGAGGAGGAGGAGGAGGAGGAGGAGGAGGAGGAGGAGGAGGAGCAGGAGCAGAGGGGGGCTCCCCTCCAGTCGAGGCCACGGTGCCTCCCACGCCTCTGCCGTGCTGACCTCTCGGGGGCCCTGGGCCCCGCCCACAGGGAGTCCATGGGCGCCCCTCGGGCCGCTTCGGCGGCCCTGCTTGGGAGGGGGGGGGGGCGGCTCCGGGCAGTCTGGGGGCCGCCATCGAGCAGGGCGGCCTCCTGGATCTCACGGGGAGTCCAGGGCGGGCACACCCCGCCTGCAGGGCGGCGCCTCCGACGGCAAGTCCTCGCGTCGGAAGGGCTGCCCCTGGCCTGCGGGTCGCCTCGTCGTCCGACCCCGTTCGGCCCTCCTCGTCCTGCTCCTCCCGGGAGCTCGCCAGCTGCGCACCCCGAGGGGGCACGAGGCGGGCCGCCTCGCGCTGCGCCGCAGCGGGCTCGCCGAGCCGTCCCCTCTCGGGCAGGGGGGGCAGCGTGCAGCCAGGGCGCCGAAAAGCTGACCACCCTGGGCCTGGTGCGCGGGCCACTCCTGAGGCCCAGGTCTCGGAGCCTCCTCGCGGCCGCGGCTCGCCGTGGCCAGGGGAGCCCCCCGTGTTTCCCCAGCGGCCGTCCCTCGGAGCAGCATGACGACTGCGATTCTCATCGGCACCATTGGCCCATGCTGGGCGGTGGGATCTCTGCGCTCGCACTCAGGCTGGCATTCCGTTTTGGCACCCGCACTGGCAAGATGAGGACGAAGAGGAGGAGGAGCAGCAGGAGGAGGAGCAGGAGGAGGAGGAGGAGGAGGAGGAGGAGGAGGAGGAGGAGGAGGAGGAGGAGGAGGGGGTGGGAACGGCCAGGAAAGCGTTTGCGAGACACGCTGCTGGCTCCAGCAAGTCGCTCTGGGTATCCCTGACCTGGAGGTTTGGAAGTGAGGTTGGCCTAGCCCAGTTTGCAGGCTTCTTCTCTGGAACCCTTCAGCTGTCTCAAGGAGTTCCCCGGGAATCATTCAGATAAGGCGGACGAGGAGGATGAGGAGGAGGAGGAGGAGGAGGCAGGGAAGCAGGCGAAGGAGGAGAAGGAATAGGGGGATGAGGAGAGGACAAAGAACGGGAGGACGAAACCAAGAGAGGAGGAGCATTTGAGGAGGACAGGCGGCAAGGGGAATTGTGGGGTTGGAGGAGGGTCAGGAGGACAAGGAGGGGGTGGATGAGGACGAGAAGGAGGGGCGGGAGGAGGAGGGTAGGAGGAGGACGCAGGAGAAGAGGGCAAGGAGAGGGGGGACTGGCAGGAGGGAGGTGCCAAGTGCTCGCACATTGAGAGACGACGCTGGGGCGCCTCTTCCCCTCGGGTGTGCCCCAGGCCTACCACCTGATAGAGCTCTGGTACCGCCTGGACGCCGCAGTGTTATCGCCTTGGCCGCCGCGCCTCTCCTCCCCCTCTTCCCTCTCCCACTCCGCTCCCCCTTCTTTCCTCTTCTCCCTCATTCTCCATATCCCCTCTCCTCCTCGCCCCCCCTGCCTCCCCTCCGCTTACCCTCCCCCTCTCCTCTCCAACATCCCCCTCCACCCCTTCGCTTCTCGTGCTTCCCTGCTTCCCCCTCCCTCGTCCCCTCCTCTCCCCTCTCCCTCTCCCTTCCCGTCTCCTCCCCCGTCCCTCCCCCCCATTCCCGCCCGCGCCGCATCCCTCCCGCACCCTCCCCCCCTCTTCCCCTCCTGCCCCCTCGCCGGGGTGGCGGGCTCTGGCCGTCCAGCTGCCGGCCCGGCGCGCCGCTCCGGCGCGCATGCCTGGAAGGGTGGACCTCCCAGGGCCTCAGGGTGGACCTTCTCGAGCTGCGCTTCGCCACCATAGCTGTAGGCCTCCCAGATGGCGTCCGAGTCGACGGGGTCGGAGGACTGCGCCGCATCGCCGATGCATCGGCGATGCGGAACCCATGCTTGCCCACGCCGACGTCGCCGATGCATCGCCGACATCGCCGACGCATCGCCGATGCATCGCCGATGCATCGGCGATGCGTTGGCGATGCGGCGCGACCCTTCGACCCCATCTAGGAGGCCTCCAACAGTCGGGCCGGACGAAAGGTGGGGATAGGGAAAGGGGGGTTACGAAATTTGCTGCATGTAGCTGGTTTCGGCCCCACCGAGGGGCCCATTCCTCGATACACGGCCGCCTCCTGCGCCGGGAGGCGCCAGGAAAATCAGCCACGTGAGCTGATCCTCAACCTCTCCTTTGCTATCCCCCCCTTTCGCCCAGCCCGATACAGGCGCACCCGCGTGGGGGCGAGGGGAGGAGGCGGAGGCGGAGGCGGAGGCGGAGGCGGAGGCGGAGGAGGAGGAGGAGGAGGAGGAGGAGGAGGAGGAGAAGAGGAGGAGGGAGGAGGAGGAGGAGGAAGCCACGCCGTCAGAGCCTCTGACGGTGCCGCCCGCCCGTCGGTTATACGCCGCGGCGGGCAGGAGCGCCGGTGCTCCCCAGGGGTCTACAGGAGCCCCCCGCCGCCCCCCGCCGCCGCCAGGCATTCGGCCTGCGGCCGGGTATACTTCTTGGCCCGCGCGCCGCGCCGCGGGTCCTGGCCCACCACGCCTCGGCGGTGCACGCTGGTTGCTTTTAGGCTCGCGCGTTGCTCATTTGATAGGCCCGTGGCCCGGACCTTTCAACTCGGCGCCTGCGCTTCCGCTTGCGCCCGCGACGAAGAAAAGGTGCACGCTGGCCACGTCCCGAGCCCCTGGTGTCAAGGTCCCGAGCCGCTCGAGCCTCCCGCCCCGCGGAGCGGAGCGCCACGCTGCCCGCACGCTGGGCACAGCGTGTCGCCGGGGCCGCCGCCGCGACACGCCGAGCAGGAGTTCCCGACCGGAAGTGCCGCGCGGGCCGGAGGCATGCACCCTCGGAGTGCTGACCATCGTGCCAGCGTTGTGGCATCCTTCCGCTCCCCTCCTCGCCGTCCTCTCCCCCCCCCTCCTGGACACTTTCTCGGGCCAGACGAAAGGGGGGGATTGGGAAAGGGGGGGTTACGAATCTTGCTGCATGCAGCTGGTTTCGGCCCCACCCAGGGGCCCGTTCCTCGATGCATGGGCGCCTCCGGCGCCGGGAGGCGCCGGGAAAATCAGCTACGTGAGCTGATTCTCACCCCCCCCCCCCTTTGCTATCCCCCCTTTTCGCCCGACCCGACCTTCGCGTCGCGAGAATAATCACGACGGAGGCTTCGAGGCAGTGTTCGGCGTCCGGGAGCCCCTGCCGGGCCACGGGCCGCCCTAAGCGACTCAGACTGAAAAACCGGTCCAGGGGAAGGGGGTCCAGAATTTTGGTTAGCCACGTTGCAACAACAGAAACACTACAAAAAAACGATATATATATACATATATATATATATATATATATATATATATATATATTATGTGTATAAAAAAGGCTCAGGGAGGAACGCATCGACCCCCGATCGCCTTCTCACAGCCGACAGGGGCCCGATGTTCCGCCTCAGTCATGAACGCGCCGCTCCGCTATCGAGAGTCCCTCGCCGATCTATCGTCGATGTGTCGCTGAGCTTACTGTAGTGGGCCCTGGAAACGACAGGGCCGTTTTTTTACCGGTTCCGTGTTGCCGTTGTTTTGCCGGTTCCGACGCCGTTTTTTTACCGGTTCCGTCGCCGTTTTTTGACCAGTTCCGGCTCCGGCTCCAATCCTGGGCCGTTTTTTTGCCGTTTCCGGTCGCCTTCTTTTGCCGTTTCCATTTTCAAGGGGCATTTTTTCGGAAACGGTGAAAAAAACGGCCCTGCCGTTTCTGGGGCCCACAAAGTCGCTGAGCACCCCTGAGCCAGTCCCACCCCTATCATTGCCCCGTAGCACAGCCAAGACTCGTGATTCCCCGTTCTGTCTTCTTCGCCGCGAACTGTCACAATGTCCGTGCAGCAGTGGTTTCGAACCCTCTGGGTGCGGTGTCCCTCGACTTCTCTCTCGCTTCCCTCCTCCTCCTCCTCCTCCTCCTCCTCCTCCTCCTCCTCCTCCTCCTCCTCCTCCTCCTCCCCCGTAGCTACTTTGGTTCAAGACGGAGCTTACTTCCAGTCCCGATTCCAGAGGCTCGAGGCCGAGGTGGAAGGGCAGCCCCTTCCCAGGCCTGGCTGCCTCGACCAGCTTTTGCAGTGAGCTCCTGGCGAATCATTTCTCACGACGATGGCGCCAGCATGGTGCCAGAGCCGCCGCCACCCCCGAACCCTGCGGTTGTTTCTTGGCCGCGGCGGCCAACATGGGCATGTGGGCGATGTGCAGCCTCGGCGAACTGGGCGTCGCGGATGCGCTGCCAGCGCGGGAACGAAGCCCCACTCAGGGTCAGGAGGGCTGCTTGGGCTGCGCACCAGGAGATCGCGTGCAGCTCTCAGGCAGGTTCGAATGTCAAGCCGAACCAGAATGACAAGAACGATGACACGATGAAGCGACTTGCAGCGATCGAGAAGCTATTGCAATGCGAAGGCGCGTCAGACAGCACAGTACCCCCATGACCTGGCCCGCGCCAGGTGCAGGGGTACCTCCATGGAAGGCTAAACTCAGTGGGACGGGCAAGGTTTTGCAGGAAGACGACGACGCTACCAAGAGGACCAAGATCCAGGCGCATACTGTCCAGTACGAGTCGGTCTTCCAAGGTTCCCCAGGTGATGACAGCGACGCGGTCAAGGTCGCTGCGAACGATAAGTTGGGCCAGTTGCGGGAGCAGGCACGCGCTTTGCGCACTCCTGCGCAGCCGCGCCGTCGGGCTCAACACGGTTTAGACAAGGCGAAGGCACACCGTGCAAAGCTCGAGTCTGAGACCAGAGAGAAGGAGGTGCAGCTTGATAAGTTGTAGGAGGCAAGTCGAAACGCGACCAGCTGCCTGCTAAGGGGGCTGAGATTGCGACCTTGGAAGTCGAGTTCAAGCGCACGGCCAGCCTCGTCGGCCCGTCGCCGTCGCCCGAGTCTGGCAAGGTCAACCCCAGTTACGACGTCAAGGACGAGGACGTGGAGGACGACGAGCTGCAGAGTTTGCTGTCCCCGACCCTCTGGGGGAAGCTCCAGTGCTTTCTCAAGTCCAAGTTCGAGGCGGCTACAGCCGGTGCTGCTGCTGATGCAGATATGCTTGTTGCCGATCGTCGTTCCGCTGCTCCAGCTGGCGGTGGCGGCGAGTCCAGCAAGCGTTCCTTTGACGACCTCTCCGTGGAGGAGAATAAGGAGCTCTTCGAGGCTGGCAAGGGCGGCGGCTGCAGCGCCTTCACCGATCGCATCCGCGAGCTGGCCAAGAAGGCGAGGCCAGGGCAACGGCATAGGGCAGGGCTCGACGGAGCTGTGCTCTATGGCCTCTTCTAGAATCAAATCGTCGGCGACGCGACCCCCCACTTCGTGCATTTCTACTTCTTCACTTGCGCCTGCGGCAGAATGTGTTACCACACTTGTGTTTTGATTTCAGCTGTCTCGCGGCGAAGCACGAGTTGTTCAGACCCCGCCGTCGCGGGGTATCCACGCGTTTGAGTCCTTCAACGTCAGCGGAGGACGCAAGACCATGAAAGGTCGAGTTCGACGTTCAGATGCACTGTGATTTTGGCTCAGGAGATCGGTTTCGATCCTATGAACATCGAACCTCTTTACACGCAGGCGCACAACAGAGGATGGAAGCTGATTGCAGTTCTTCGGATAGCCACTTGCGGGAACCCCTCGGCAGGCGTTGCGATTCTAGCTCGTGCGGATCCTCGGCTTCGCAAGCCTGAGCGTGGTCTGCATGAGATCTATTGTCGTCGCCTTCAGCACGCGATGATCAGCATGCCTGGTTGGCCGACGTTCAATGTCCTGAAGACTACCTCAAAGACTCGATCGGCCCCACAGACGTGAACGCGACGCTGCTATCACTATTGGGCCACCGGCTACCTGATTGTCGCGGGCCATGTATTACAGGTGCCGGTCGGGACACGCCAGTGCAAGAGTTGGAGCAGTGCGATTTTCCTCGCGCAGCCAGAGTGACCATGGCTGCTCCGGCTCAAGTCACTTGTCGAGGAGGCATGGGGTCCACGGCCATCGGTCATTTTATTGGGAGATGTGGCTTTATGTGGTTCTCGCCGGGTGGCAGCTGACATGCCCTGGAGCAACAGGCCCCGCCGCCCCGTCCTGATGAATGTAGTTGACTACGGTTTCAGTGTCAAGCGTTTCGCATGCGCGGCGTCGCCCACGCTGCCGCCCGCCCCAGTTGTGGACTCGGCAGCGCCAGCAGCACTTCCAGCAGACTGGAGTATGCATCGTGCTCTAGCTGAGGCCTGTTTGGACACGGCAGCGAAAGAGGCGAATGATGTCAACGCTGTTTGGGTTCCCCCATTTTGCTCGTGGGCAAAAATTGCAGCTATGGCGGCTAAGCAGGTGGCGGTCAACGCGGGCGCCAAGCTGGAGAAACCAGGAGTCTTCGGTCGCAACGCCCCACGTCGTTGGGTAGACGCCACCTTTCAGATCAATGATGAGACCGCCGCCATGTTGATTGCGGAGGGGTGGCGATGGTTAGTCAAGCGTTTGAATGCGATAGCCCAGTTGTGCCGAGGCACGCTGCACCTCGACAGCAGAGACAGCGCCGCGGTCAAGGCTTGCGCGGGCGCTCGGGCGACGCGGCCACGCAGGCCCGCGCGCCGGCGAGTGAGATTCCCATGGGCGCGGACGGGGTTGCGCGGCTCGTTCCGGAGATCGGCGGGGGCGTTGAGATCGCGGTAGAGAGAATGGACATGGAGCCCGCGCGGCCGTGGAGCGACGGGCGAGCCGAGTCGGCTTCGCGAGGAGCTCGCGCACTTCATCGCGTGGCCGAGGTCGCGGAGATCCCAGAGCCTGCTCAGCGCCCAGGCCCCGTCGTTTCTGGATGTCCAGCGGCCATTGTCGAGCGGGAAGTTGCGATGGATCGCGAGCTTTGGGGGGCCAGTGAGCAGGCCCCTTGTGCTTGGGTCCCAGATCGCGCCACTTATCCTGCCATCTGGCCTGGAGATATCAGATCTGCTGCGAAGACTTGCTCGACAGGAACGCTTGCGAGTTTCAACCGGTTCCGTTCTCGGCGCGCGCGCGCGTGTTGGACGACGGGTTGCAGGCGCTCGGCAACACGTGACAGCGCCCAGAAGCGAACGGCCTTCTGCTGGAACAATTGCGCTGGATGCAGATGCCCATGCTAGGCAAACCCTCTGGCGGCAAACGTTCGATGTCAATGCGCGCTAGGATATCCCGCACACGGCAACGAGCTCGTAGATGGACGGCGGCAGGTGTCAGCCAGCAGTTTTCTCGCAAGTGTTGGGGGGGGGGCAGCTGCAGGTCGATCCACCCTGGACTGCGCTTGGTCGCGGGCTGCTCGTGCCGAGTGTGATCGCGCCAATAAGCGACATCTTCTCACGCGGGTGATCGATTGGTCTAGGTGTCACGAGTCCATCTCTTTCGACTTACCACGCCCGTAATTCACCTAAGGTGGGGCACCATTCTGCCGGCAAAAGTTGGCGCGCAACGCGTGGCGAGCCCACGGGGCCATCTAATTAGGAAGGCACCACTCCGTCCCACAGTCACGCGCGGAGCGCGGCTGGCCAGCAGGCGACGGGCACAACGGCCTCGCGATACAGGTCCACGCCTACGTGAATTTCGACGAGCATGCGAGCAGATGCCCAACGATCGACTTCATCAACTACATCGACGACACGGCAATCAGCACAAGGGCCACTGGAATGAAATAATCAGAACGGGCCCCCCATTCAGATTGATCAGGCCCCGCCTTCACTGTTAGCAGATATGCTAAATATACATATTCAACGCCAACACGAGCTGGCACTTGCCAGATTAGGCCACCACCCAGGGCGGGGGGCCACCTTGGACTCCATTCGGGACCGCGTAGGGCCAAAAGCCAGGGGTCTGGGTAGGCGCTCCAAGTTTTTGATCAAGTGCTGCGCGAGCAATGGAGCGAGGACCAACGAAAGGGGTCGTTTGACGGCTTGCGTGACTGACGGTTTGTGCGAGTGCGGACAGGCCGACACTCCATCATATGTTTTGCATTTGCATGAGATAAGATGCAACGCAGGCGCGAGAAGATTCTAGTGCCACGCCCGAACACATCCAGGCTGCACTAGAGGATCCTGACACAGAGATTTTCAACCGAGGCATCTTTCTGCGTCCTGACAGTGAGTTGCCACTGCCCAACACGTCGTTCCAGGTTCATTTGTTCGATGCTGTTGGCAATCCATTAGAGATGGGTCCCCAGAGCCCGTGCTCCTGCTTGTCTCAGACGGCTCTTGTCCTAAGCCCCCCCGCCATCAAGATAACGCAGCGCAGCGTGAATCAAAATATGTTGGCCTCATCGGAATTCGCCGGGCCCCGTCAGTTTCGCGCGCTCTCTCTCTCTCTCTCTCTCTCTCTCTCTCTCTCTCTCTCTCTCTCTCTTTCTGTCTCTCTCTCTCTCTCTCTCTCTCTGTCTCTCTCTCTCTCTCTCTTGAAGGCACTGCGTGGCTCCAAGAGATAGGGCATGTCAAAGCCCGCATATCTCAGGAGGGCACCGACGCCATCCCCGACGCATGCGAGAGAGATTCTGCAGTTGCGAATTCACTCGTTGATCACCGTGCCAAGAAAACACTGAGGCACCGCGGGGGCGCCGATCCTCAGTTTCTTTATTCGCTCAACCTCGCCCTCGAGAGAGCGAGCAATTTCGCCAAGAATGCTGCAGTCACGCTGCCGCTCTTTCTAACCGATCTCAGGCGGCCCAGGCCCCCCCCCCCGAGCTGCGCGTCGCGGCAAGTCCCGCATGAAAGTTGGATGGCGCCAGTGGGAAGATGGGCCTGCTCGGCTCTACTGCAGGCGCTGCCTGCAACTAGGCGGGAACTCTCGTTCGCAGATAGAGCTGACTGGCTGTCGTGGCGTACCCCGTTTGTTTTGGTTGCTCAGCCGCTCGAGGATCCCCAGGGGCACCTCGTCGCCGCGGCCAGCCTCTCTCGGAACCCTGCCTCGGCCGAGCTAGTGATTGCGATCCTTGAGAAGCAAAGTCACGCACGTTTGAAGTGTGGAGGGTAGTCCCAGGGCTGCGCTTTTGAAATTTGGCCAGCCCTGTTTGCCGCCCACCGAAAAGCATCGGGACATGATGAATCGGTTCAACCCAGGGAAGCAGCCAAATCGAAAGGGTAGGGCGTTCCTCGATTGCACTGCTCCCCTTGCTCGGTTGGCCCCTAAGCGTTCGGCGTTTTCACGGCCCTGTAGAGGCCCCCCTCTGCCTGACTCTACGCTGGGCAATTCTCCGTCGGCATCAGGGGCCGCCCCATCCACACGAGGCGCGTGTGGCAGCTCTCTTGGAGAGAATTCGTGACAGAGAAGCCTCAGCTCGAGGTCAGTAGCGCGAGTGCGAGCTCATCATTTAGTGCTGCGCACCTTCCTCGCCAAGGCATTCCTTTCCATTCAATGCCATTCCCTCCACTCCTCCTCTTTCTCCTTCTCCTCCTCTTTCTCTCCCACTGACCCGTCGCCCTTGCTCCGATATCACCTCCCTCCCCTCTCGCGCCCTCTCCCTCCCCATCCATCCCTCACCGCCCCCACTTTCCCATCCCCCTCAACCCCTTCCCCGCCACCGAACCGCCCTTCCTATCTCGACCCGTTCGCTACTCGCTCTCCCTCGCCCATTTCGCAGTCCCTTTGTTTCCCGTAGCCCCTCCAACGCCCCCCCCCCCGCCCCCTTCCCTTGGTCAGCCAGGTCCCCGATTTGCTGTTTTTTTGATCGCCATTCGTCCATTCAGCTTTCCCCCTCCTCCCCCTTGAAGATGTCGCGCCACGTCCTGGGTCTGGTCATTGCGTAAAAGAGCGATAATCCAGCGAGCGCACGCCCCATGTTGAAAAGGGACCGCCCATCCATACATGTGGCGTTGGAAGTTTTGTCAGGAATGCGCGCGGCGCAAAGGCGATAGTCACATCATGAACATGGCCCACACTCCATCCGCGTATGTGCTGGAAGTGTGGTGGGCGAGTATGCGTGGCGCTGTGGTGAGAGCCACATTTCGAGTACGACCACCCTCCATACGTATGGCGCACGGCGTCAAAGCGAGAGTCATCACAACAAACAGTCGCCCTCCATCCGCGCGAATGCTAGAAGATGAAGGATTCGGGATCACAAATGGTGAGGATGTCCCGAGCAAAGCTCTACAGCCACGCTTGGTATCGCGACGAGGCCTGCGTGGCCAAATTGGGGCCCTCTTGGGGGCCTGTCTGGCCAAATTGGGGCCCTCTTGGGGTGCTCCAGGGCCGTTTGGGATGCCATCTTGGGCGTCTTGGAGGCCTCTTGGGCCATCTTGGGGCCTTTTTGGGGCAGTCTTGGGGGCCTCCTGGGCCGGTTTGGAAGCTCTTGGGCCATCCTGGGCCGTAGGAAGACCGAACAGACGCAAGTGCTAAAGTCCCGGAAAAGAATCAGGAATATCCATGAGTTTGGCCTCTTCGGGCCTTCCTGGAGGACCTTTTGGAGGCCTCTTGGGGGCCGTCTTGGGCCATCTTGACTCCATCTTGAGGCCATCTTGGGCCGTCGTGGAGGCTTCTTGGGCAAATTTGGAGGCATCTCGGACGATCTTGGGCCATCTTGGCGGCCATCTTGGACCATTTTGGGCGAGCGTGAGGGCCATCTTGGTCGTCTTGGAGGCCATCTTGGGCCATCTTGGAGCCGTCTGGAGCGGGAAAAACGTTGGCAGCCACCTCTGGGCAAGCCTTCTGGGTGGCCAGCGCAGTGGACCGAAGCCCCAGGGGGAGTTTTTTCTTGGGGGGGGAGGACCCCGACCAATCCGAGCATAGGATTCAGCACGCCAGGCACCCCTGTGGCAAGCCAACAGGGGGCGGCGGATCGAATGGCCTTCGGCCCATCCCGCCACCGTGCCTGAGTTGTGGGTCAGAGTTCTCAGGGATGCTTCTCGGGGTATCCTCGTAGCGCTCTCGGGGCCTCTTGGGGGCAGTTGTGGCGCCTCTTGGGGTTAGTTTAGGGGCCTCTTGGGAGCCTCTTGTGAGCCTCTTGGGGCCTCGTGCGGTTCTCTTGGGGCCTCTTAGGGCCTCCTGGGGGCCCCTGGGAGCCGAGGGCTCGGAACGTCCGTTCGGGTTCTCCGTGGGTCCCCTCCTGAAGCCGTCTTTAAGCGGTCTTGGGCGCCTCTTGGGCCGTCGTGGGGCCCTCTTGAGCCGTCTTGGGGCCCTCTTGGGGGCCTTTGGGGCCCCAAGAGTGGCATCTTGGGCCGTCTTGGAGCGTCGGCGAGAACGCCAAAATCTTGCAACACCTAAGAAACATAA